GGGCCGGGAGGGGAGGGGAGGGGAGGGCTCCCGGCTCCGTCCTGCCACCTGCGGCGCCTGCCCGTGAGCATGGCTGTGCTTGGCCTTGAGTGTGCCAGAGGGGCCTTTTCTGGGGGCTCACAGCATCTAGCCGCTTGTCTCCAGGCCTCCGAGGTCGGCGAGACGCCGAGGGGCGCCTTCCCGCAGTCCTGGGGCTGCCCGGCCCGGGCGTTCGCCACGCTCATGCTTGGGCGCGGGGAGAGGCCCGGGCGACAGCCTCGGTCTCCGTGTGATTGGGGGCGGTAACAGTCCCTCAGCTCCCCGGGGCGCCTGCTGACACAGAAGGGGGGGGGGCGCAGCTCAGAGCTGGGAGAGCCGGAGGGCGCCTGCGGCCCTCGGAGGCCCAGGGGTCACTGGCCACCCAGACTAGGATGGAGGCGGCGGCTGACCAGCCCGCTGCTGGCCTCCTGGCCCCTGGCCAGCGCCCCCGCGGGCTGCCCCCAGCCGGCTCCCGGTCTGGCCGGCCCCCAGCCTTGGCCCTGCACATCAGACAGAGGAGGAAGGCTCGTGGTGAGCTCGGAAATGTGCCTGCTGAGGCACTTTTAAAAACAGACTTTTCGGTCCCCTTGCCCCTGACGGGAGGCCAGGGGGCACTCTGGGGAGACTGATGGTGGCAAAACCACCCTGGGAGCAGCTGCTCCTTCGTTGAGCCCCAGAACCCCCAGGTTTCCCTCTGGGAACAGCGTGCCACGTGTAGCTCAGCCCCGGGTTCTGGGCGGGCAGCGGGCAGTGAGTGGACAGCTTCCAGAGGGCCGGGGGTGGGGGCAGGCGGGGCACCTGCGCCTTCCTGCCTGTGTCCCAGGGCCCCACTCGCCCACCTGGGGTTCCCGGGGTGCCAGTGTGGAGACTCAGCCATGTCCCTCCAGCTGCCCGTGGGCCTGGCGTGGACTCTGCCCTGGGGCAGGCCAGTGAGTGGGCGTGAGAAAGGGCTCGGTGTGGGGAGCTGGGGGTGGTCTCCGGGAGCCCCTCCGTCCCCTCGGCTGCTGCCTTCCTTTCCTGGTCTCCCCTCTCCTTTTTCCCCATTGCGGGAACACGCTGACCTCTGTTGAGACAAACAGATGGTCTGTTCGGTCTTATTTTGTTTGGCCTGGGCCGAGTTTTAAAGTGTTTAGATACCAGTTAGACCCCACATTAGAAAGATCCATGTTTAAGGCTCCTCTTAAAAGAGTGGGGCCTGGCCCGCCACCCTGCCAGAGGCCACAGACCCAGGCAGCCTGTGGGGGCGCAGGTGGCGTGCCAGGGCGTGTGGCCTGGCTGGCGTTCTTTGGTGGCCAAGCGCTGTTGTTCATGGTGTGTGCCTGTGCTGAGGCGGAGGAGCGTCGGGGCCGGTCAGTGGCCGTCAAAGGGCAGGGGCGGCAGCCCGGCCCCCCTCTACTCGGGGCCTTCCCCTCAATGCTGGTTCATCCTCATGGTGCAAAATGACGCCAGTGGCTCCGGACATCACGCCTGGCACCCTTGGAGGCTGGAGGAAGGAGCCAGAGCCTCGCTGGCTCGGGGCGTGGCTGGGACCCCTTGGCCCACCGCAGCATCCTCCCTGCCCAGGGGCTGAGCTGGAGACGGCAGCCCAGACCCCAGTAGCTGCCCGTGCGAAGCTGCGTGGGGCTCTTTTCTGAGGAGGTGACTCGCCTTTGAGGCCCTGCAACGAGGCGGCCTTTGCAGATGACAGCGAGCGTGGAGGGCGTTGTTAGCATGGGGACTGCTCATTCCGTCCCTTTAAGGAGGAGAAAGCCAGGCTTGGTTTGGCCACTTCCTAAGGGCACGGCTGGTGAGCGGGCAGCCGCAGCCTGGCACTCACCGGTCCCTGCCTGGGCACCCCCAGGACCCTTCCTGCCCACTCCCTCCCTGGGCCATGGCCCATGAATCATTTTCCTTTTTGGGGTTTGCAGACACCTGGGCGCCCTCACGGGGCCTGGCGGGGGGCAGGCTGTGGGAGGGTGAGTGGGCTGCTCGTGGCAGGTTGCATGGGGAGCCAGCCAGAGCCGAGGGCAGCTCCCTTCGCGAAGCCACCCTGACTCATTCATTAACGGGCTGTGGGCCCACTTCAGTTCCGATGGCGCAAAGCCCTCGAGTGTTCTTTACAAATATTTCATTCTCTGCCAGTAGCGAAATGCCGGCTGCCTGGCTGGCCACCTCCCTCCCTCCCCGTGCTGGGCAGTCTGTGCCGGCCGGGGCTGCTGCGGGCTGGCAGGGACCCCGCAAACCAGCCCCGGACTCCTGGCCTTGCCAGGCTCCTGTTCTCAGGGCAGCGAGCTGTCCTGGGGGCCGCGCAGGAGCGCCGAGGCGGCCTGGGGTGGCAGGTGACTACCGCAGTCCCTGAGAGGCAGAGTTGGGGCTCCCGCTGGTTGTGCTGGGGCCAGGGCCAGGGCCAGTGCTGTCCATTCCCCTGCGGAGTCCCGGAGTGGGAACTTAAAGCTGGCTTTGAGGGCCTCGTTTTGATGGGGGCGCGGGGCTGGCTTTGAGAGGGGCGCGCCGTGAGCTGGCCTGACAAGGGGTTCTGGCTACATGTCGGTGGGGCCACGCTCAAGGGGGGCTCTGCAAACCGAGGTGCCGTGGACTTCTGCAACGTCCTTGAAGGCCAAGAGTTGCCAGGCCGAGGTGGCCAGGAGCAGCGGGGGCCACGGCAGTCTGGCCTCGGCAGGAGCCAGGCTGCCGGAGGTCCACAGCCCCCCACTGGCTCGCCCCCTTGCACACTGGGGAGAGCCCCTGCGCGCTTCTTTAAGGGAAACGCTGCTCAGACCAGCGTCCCTGGCTTGGTGGGTCCCGCGAGAGCCGCGCAGGTGAGCGCCGCCTGCCCGCCCCAGTGCTGCTTCAGGAGCCTGGGCCCAGCAGGGCGGATGCACTTCTTACCGCCCTTCTCCGGCCGAGGGGGCCGCTCATTGGGTTGTGTAGGCCACCAGCCCCCCCGGCCTTCTCTGCAGAGCCCCCCGGGCCAGTGAGAGCCCCGCCCCCGAGTGTGTAGGGGGCTGCTCGGCCTGGCCCAGGGAGAGGGCCCAGAAGCCGGGGTGCCCGCAGAGGGGGCGGCCCGAGAAACTCCAGCCTCTGCCCAGGCAAACTCCTCGTCATCCATCCAAACCCTGCCGGCCCCTGGAGGCAGCCCCCCGGTCTGCGTGTGCGGCTCCCTGGGCGGCAGGACTTTGCACCGGGTAAGCGGCCGGTCCTGACAGTGGGCCCCGGCCCGAGCCGGCGTCGGGGTCCCAGCAACCAGCACAGGCCTGGAGTGGGCTGGGGTGCCGCAGGGCTCCCCGCTCCCCCCAGCCCCTCCCTAGGCCCTCCTGCTAGGGTGGGCAGAGCCAGGGCCCATGTGTGGGGCGCTGACACAGCCCGCGTCCCCTCACACACCGAGGCCTTGAGCTGCACCCGGGGCCATGTCCTGGCCATTTCCCGGGCTGTGGGGTCTCTGGCGCACCGGCCTCCGGGCCTGGCGGGTGGGAGCGGGGCCCTGATGGGCTGGTGGCAGCTCGGGCGGGGTGGGCAGGCCGGCCGGGCCCGGGACAGCTCCCCGGGACTCGCGCAGCCCGCGGCCTCGCCCCACTGCTCTGCAGCACGGGCCGGCTGGCGCGTGCGGCCCAGGTGAGCGGGTGGGGTGCGGCGGCTCCGCCCCTGCACCTGCATAAATATAAACCCACTTGTTTACCGAGACGTGACTCCTTCCGCCGCGTCTCCATCTGGCGCTCCCCGTGGAGCTTCCTTTGTCACCGCGCCGGCACACCTGCCGGACGCGTCTTCTTTCACAGGAAAGTGCGGCTGCCTCGCTCCCAAGGGCGCGTCCTGGCGCTGCCACCTGGGCAGGTCTTCTCCGAGGCCTGTCGACGTTATTTCAGCTTCCCGCGGGGCCAGAGGGAAGCTGAACCCAGCGGCGGGTTGGGGTCTCTGACTTCCAGCAGCCTGAGGCTGTGTGTGCTGCGGCGCGGGCTGAGACGCTCAGACCTGCCTGCCTGTGTCTCCCACCGAGTTCGGCTCCTCGGCGTCTCGGTCCCGTCTCTGCCCTCAGGGACGCCTTTGCTGTCACCCCGCGGGTCTCCCCGGGATGAACCTCTGCCCTGGGCTGGGGTCACGCGCATGGTGCAGCTGCTGGCCTCCCCTTTGTCTGACCTGACTCCGCTGGGGCCCGTCCCTGTCCTCTTGGTGAGGGTGAGGGGTCTGAGGGGCCAGAGCCCGGCGCTGGTGCAGCGGAGGCCAGGGCAGACCTGGGGAGCAAACGCGCGGCCCATCTCTGCCGGGAGGGGTGGCCCGCGGGGCTGCTGGCACATGCGTCTGCCAGAGGAGAGGCAGCCGGCTGGAGGGCGCGAGCCCTGTGGCGGGCTGTGGGCTGGGAGCCGGAGCAGCCGCCTGTGGAGGTTGGGGTGGCGGGTGCGCCCCGCCCCCTGCCGTGCTCTGAAGCCGTCGGGGGGGCTTGCTCGTCTCCCCCAGCCTGGCTGCTGTGCAGTCTCGGCAGTGAGTATGCCTTTCAGAACTCTGTCGCTTTAAAAAGAACAGTGAAATGTCACCCCAATTCCTCCTTTCTAAACGGAAACACCCCAAATCACCTCCCCCACCCCCAACTCAGCCTTCAAAGATGTTCATGATTCTCCATGTT